TGCCTGCACATTACCTACTATCGCTTGTTTCCTCTCCTCCTCTTTACCCCTTTTTCCTCTTAACCTTTGACCTTCCACGAAGTCTTCTTTTCCATCCCTTTTGATGTCTCTCCTCCTGCGATCCACTTGTCCTAATGTCCACCTATACCTCTTCAATGATATAATTATTCACCTCATCATCTTCCCTTTCCAGGTGACCATTTAGCTTCTCTTTTACCTCCACTTCCTCCTTTGTTTTGCAACTAGAGGAACCTTTGACTGCCCCAGCCTCCACTTCATCCTTCTTACCAATATAAATCTTAGTTCATAGCTTTTCCCTACAAGTAAGGAAACTTGCTAGGCATAGTGCCAATTTCATAATTTGGTTTGATTTCTGATTTACAACTCGAGATTTGAGAGGTCGTTAGTGAATCTAACAACCAAGATTAAACTCTACATTAATTCATTCAATTTATGGCATTGGCTCACTAAATTAGGATCTTCAATCGTTAAAACTTACAAATGGTCCATTACTCTATTCTTTATCTAAACCCGTTACTAATCAAAATTGTGATAAGTAGCATGCCCCTTAATTAAGTGCCCACATAAAAGGTCATGTTTTAGGCATGTAGCTAAGACTTTTAGGTTGTAATTTCTCTTGTGGGTGGAGGGTGAAAAGACAAATATGATGTATGTACAGTATGTATATGCATGTGTTTGTGTTTATGACAAGGAGATTGATTTAGATTCTCTATTGTTCCAAATAGGAGATTCATCATAATTGGATTAGATTGGAAGTAGAGTTTGATACTTCTCTCTATGGGATTACTACCAATGTGTTAGTAGAGTTTTATGTTGTCTTGGATGATACGAGACTTTGCAATGATAAGAAGCTCATTAGCGTGATTTTACAATGTGATTTGTAGGTTTTAGCAAGCTCATTTTTAATGTTTGAAAATAATTAGATTTAGGACAAATTAGGATGAGCTTTGTCACTGAGTAGCTAATCAAGGAGTGCAAATCCAACATACTTGAGGGGAAAATAACATAATGGCAGATACACTAGCAAATTTAGCCTAGTATTTGAGGTAAATTTACATTTGATTCAGCTGATAATGCTACTAAACTAATTGTACAAGGAACACTTCTAGTAAGGTAGGCATCCCAAATATTAGATATTAGCATTTTTTCCTTTATTAAATTGAACTTTCACCTATGCGTATACATACTTTGGAGTAAGGTTGTTGCCCCCCCCCCCCCTTGAACTTTGAATATTTATCAATAATATCTATTATCTTCCTAGTTGTCTTGGAAAATTTCTCTGCTTTACTTCCTTCCTGTGTTCATTATTCCCTTGAAGGTAGCAGGTCAAATTGAGAAGATCCAATGAAATTTTCTATGGGATGGTAGTGGAGAAAAAAGTTGTCATCTCATAAGTTGGAAGCAAGTTTGCAAACCAAGGGAGGGAAAGGGTTTGGGTCTTGATCATCTTAAGGAAAGAAACCAAGCTCTACTTGGTAAATGGGTACAGAGGTTCCCTTTAGAATCAAACTCTCTTTGGAATGATGTTATCAAAAGAAAATATGGATTAAATGCCAACGGTTGGGATAGAAAAGTCCACTTGATCTAGGAGAATTTTGCAAACCCTTGAAAAGACTGCTTAGAACCTGCATTCTTGTACAAAGTGACCAAAATGCCACTTGAGCGTTGACAAGGGCAAGGTAACTATGCCCTGTATTTAAATAAGAGAAGTGTGTGTGTGTGGTCATAGACAAACATCTAATCTAATATAATATAATATATTAAAGGAATGTGATTACGCAACAGCCCCCCACCCTTTAGACACATGGCAACCTAAATTTTCTAGAAAAAGCATCTCCGAAGTGAGCTATTCAAATTTTCAAAGAGAAAACTCACTCCTCATATACATAAATTGCTTTTAACCCCATTAAAATTTTTGAAGTATTAAACTCATGCATGTAGCACTCTAAAACAAGTGTCACACATTCAATAATAGTTCTTTAAAAATATGTGAGAAGTGGGAAGCTCTCATTCTTGATCCATTCCTAAAAAATGCAGAAGTGGTTAACCACAACCACTTCTGCCTACATTTAAATGTCAGTCAATCATTAACCCTCAGTCTATCATTCTTCATCTAACCGAACTATCATTTTCCCTCTCAAATGCAATTTTTCATCTCTCAATCTTCATCTCAATGAATCTAGATCACAATCAATCTTAGTGAATCAACATCAAACTACAATTTTTTAGTCTACAACCTTTCAGGTATTAAATAAACCTAGTATCCTCCCATGGACCAATCTTCTTTTAATCTGAAATGTTTAAAATTTTATATAGTTAATACAATCTTTGAACCGGTTCTCTATAGCCTTTGCGGTCTACAGTCTACAATTTCATTGGACATTGAATCTGCCTCAAACTACAATTTTTCAGACTACAACCTTTTAGGTATTAACTAAACATACCATTCTCCCTTGGATAAATCTTCTTCTATTTTGAAATATTTAAATATTTTTTACAGTTAATACAATCTCTAGACCGATTCTCTATAGCCTTTGAGGTCTACAGTTTGCAATTTCATTGGATGTGTGAAATTTCAGTCACTTCATTTAGGTTGTTTTACATTTACATTTAATTTTACGTTATCTTAAACTTATTTTCCGTTTCAGTTCGGTCAAAATTGTTAAACTCACATCACACACACACACTAGAGGTAGAATTCTTTAGCTCAATCAGTTCAACATAAGACAATTGTTAATCTCACATTATGTTAAACAATTCTTCTCTCTTGCTACATTCACAATTATATCAATGGAAGACAAAGTATGTGGAAATGCCCATTCGACTTTAGCTTTAGCATCGTCGAACACATAGAAAGATACAAGTGATATGTTGCAATCACTAACCACCATCAATGACTTATGGGTGACTGCAGGTGGCCGGGAGGGTCAAAGGAAGTGTGAATGGTCGAGCCCTGTCAAGTTTTAGCCTAGGTCATCACCTAAGAAGATAGCCTCCTTTGAAAAGACTGGCAGACCAATTGCTTTTTCAAAATATATATGAGATTGTCGACCATCGGCGATCACTTATGGGTGGATGACAATGGCCGAGAGGGTCAAAGGAAGTGGCAATACTCGGGCCCTGTCCAAATCGTCGCTTGAGAAGATAGGCTCCTCTGAGAATAAAATTGATCGGTTTTTTTACTATCAACCAACAAGCACTAGTGATCATCAACTGTCGGTGATCACTTATGGGGTGGTCCCCGGTGGCCATGAGGTTATTAGATGTAGGTATAACAGTCCCTTGTTTGAGATTTGCTCGAACCATCGCCTAAGAAGACGACAGTTTGACTAAGAAATAATTTATTATTAACAATAATATTTATAATTGTTATTATAATAATCATAAATGCAAAATAATAATTAACAATAATAATAATCAATAATTAAAAACTACTAAAAATTATTATAAATATATTATTAATTAATAGTTATATATTATGAATAATTATAATAATTGTTAATATAATTATAATTTTAATTAACTTAATTATTATAAATATATTATAATAATTATAATAACTATAATAGTTATTACAATAATTATATATTATGAATCAATTATAGTAATTGTAATTATAATTATAATAACTATTATAATAATTATAATATTTATAATTGTTATTAATTCCTTCTTAGCCTATTAGTTTAATAATTTATTATTATTATTAATTAATTCATAAACAATAGTGTGTTAATTAAATTTCAGAAAAAAATATTTATTGCTTAATTTTTATTAGAAAATAAAAGCTATATTATTACATTTTCAAAAAAAATTAATAAATTTATATTAAAAATTATTACATATTTAGAATACTATTTATTAGTTTATTATTGAAATACTATCACATTTTTCAGAAAAATTTATTAATTAATTTCTATTGGAAAATAAAAGCTATATTAATGTAATTTGGAAAATAATTATTTAAAATTATTACCTTTTGCAGAAAATTTTTTAAATTCTTATTTTTTAGAAAATAACTTACAACCGATAAATACACAATTACCTAATGCTTCTTCCTAAAATATCTCCAGCTTCCTAAAATACTCAAATCAAACTTACCATACAAGTACTGAATCACAAACAAAATAATAGTTGCCCTATACTTAGGATTTTGCATGACTACTACATAGGTTTAAAAGAAGAAAAAGCATAAATTGTTAATTAAAAATTAAACCTGATTTAATTTTCTAAATTAAATAAGAAACCCAATCAATTTTTTCATAGAAGCATAAGTTGTGAATCTCAAATGAAATAATAAATGATGTGGGCCATTCTTCTAGATAAAATATGACAAATCTATTAAATCAAATAAAAATCTATAAAAATGAAATAAAAAACCTAACCTAAACTTCTAGTATAGATGATTTAGAAAATAATTGAAATAGTTCAGATCATGGACCCATACTTAATACAGGGGTTATTCCTAGTGTATATTAAATCAGGCTATTGTCTATTCAAGCTACCTAAGGTTCAAACCAGGGCTGAGGCGACAAAATAAAAAAGCCCAAACTTTTGGGCTCAGGCCCGGCCAAAAGGACCAAAACTTCAATCCCAACCCATATAAAATTGTAGGCTGAGTCTGGGCTCAGGACCTCATGTTGGGCCCTCCCAATTTGCCTTTGAGAAACAAAAAATTTTAAGTTAATTTCTAAGATGTTTTAATTTACGATTTTTAAGTAAGATACAACATTCAATCGGTATATTGATTTTATTTGAAGCAATTAAAAAGAGTTCGGATTAGTCCGATCAAATTTTGGACAAACAGATATTTGTTGCAAGTTGCAACCTTACTATAAAGTATAAACAATGATAAATGATTAAATTTTCTTTTTACTTTCCGTGCTCTTACAGAAAGGTAGCAACTTTCAACGTAAAAAACAATTTTTTTTTTCTCTCTGCAATACGCAAAAAAGCAAAACCAAATCTCTTTTGACAGCCTAACTCCTATAATACAAACCATCCTTCCGAAGCAAGAAAGGGTACCCAATTCCCCTTCTCCCGGAAGGAAACACTACAAACAGAACGCTAATCACAAACCCAACCACAAGAGGAACAATGTTAGTCACCTTCCTCGGCATTGCCAGATAATAACAATCCAACACATCGTTGTTGGACGATGCAAACGTAAGGAATGCAACAACAGAAAGAGATGAATGGAAGAGATCAGCCCACCTCAGCCTGTAATCCCTTGGATGACATGGCCTCTTTCTACCCCCATTAAACGTCCATATCCCCCTAAACGTTGCAATCCCATAGTACAGCCTTCCCGTCGCAGTCCGAAAGCTGTCGGTGAAGGTGAAGAAGACGCAAGAGGCCGACGATATTGCCAGGAAGATGGCCATGAGCCAACGGTTCAGGGTGTCGCATTTCCCATCGTTTGTTAGGATCGGAGCAAAGATGGTGAATGCAAGAATGGTTGCAGTGGGTAAGAGGACGTTGAGGCGAGCTGTGCCGCTTAGTATTGTATTGAGAATGAAAAAGAAATGGGATTCATCAGCAATATCATCTTCTTCTATGTAGTCATAGTCTTCTCCCTCGCTGTTCTCTCCAATGAGGGATTTGTTGGATGGGTCCTCCATTGCTGGATTCATCAACCTGACCGAGACGAAGTCTACAGGGAGGTAGCAGTGTGAGGTCAAGGCTTCTGGTTGTTGAGGGCTTGTGGGGTGGAGAGTTGAGAGCATAGTATATGAGATTGTAGCTGGGATTCTTTAATTAAGAGAGAGGAACAAGCAAAGCTATTCTAGGATTTAATTCTAAGCTTAAATTAAAAAGCTTCTGTGGACGTATATGCAAAGGTGTGGATTCAGTCCTGTGACTTTCGGCAAATGCTTTTTGCTTTGGAACATGGGTTTGCTTCTCATTGGGTCTGAAAACAAACCAAAAGGCAGCAGAGAGTATTGAAGAATTGAGAAATGCATACGTGGGAGGTACCCATTAAAGGGCAACCAGACAACTTTGTTCTCCATTAGTCTGCATTACCAATATTGTGGTGAGCTAGGAAAAGCAAGTAGTAATCTAGGACGTCCAACTGGTTTATAGGATTCATCCGATTTGATCTAGGCCATTCAAGTAACTTGTCAAGATTGGAAAGTTGTCTAGGCTGTAATTGGTCTAGCAATTCCAAATTGAACAAAATTTTCTAGTTCTACCTTCTACGAGGTATTTGTTCCTTTCCAAACCTCAAAGCACTGAAATATACAGGGTAGGTATCCCTAATTGTTGGAAATGCAAGAGAAAATATCTGTTTTTTTTTTACATTTTTTTCTTAATAATCCTTCTTTTTTTATTATTTTTTATGGAAGAGATTCAGATCCATGTTAGAATTGTATCCGTGAAGGGCAGTTGCTTTGTAATTTCAAGGCCATATTAATTATAATTGAGAAGTCTGGACTAAGGAATTGATCCACTACAGGATTTCAGCTGACAAACCTGAACTAAGCAACTGCCAATGGCAGTCATGATATTTCAAGCTCAGTCTATAATAATATCGAATTAGAATTAATATCAATACAGAATACCTGTTCTAGCTATGGATAGTTACAAATATCCATCTATGTGCAGTAGCACACATGCATCAATGAGGGATTTTCTTGTATTGTATGAGTTGCAAAGTCAATATCACTGAATTGACCTCTGATTGTTGAGATTTTTGCTCTTCATACAGGAAGTTGCCCTTGAGCACCTATTTTCCATTAATAAAAAAGCCCATCTGACCTACTATGGGTTGATCTGATCTGCACAAATGATCGCCTATTTAATATACATAAAAATGAGGTTGCTAAGAATTTAAGATCAAGAACAGCAAAAAATACTTGATTAAACAGTATAACAAAAACATACTTCCAAGGAGACAGAACTTTAACATTTTTATCATTAACGAACTTTATGTATTTACAATATCCATTTAACAACTCAATGATGATTTAGAAAAAAAAAAAAACAAACAATCAGATTAAGGTACTTTTTTTATTCATAATATATGTCACCATTAGAAGGAATTAACCCCAAAGATTTGCTTAAAAAATCGCAAAGGGAAAAAAATGGAATTGGGGCCTTACAAACTGTGAAATATCTATATACAATACATCAAAACTGGTAGACCTTAACACTATAACAGGATGAGCTAAAACCACACAAAATGAGACCTAGGGATGAGAATTATTGTTCTCATTCTGCGCTGTACTTTTTAACTCAGGAGAGTCATCACTTCTGCAACAGAATTTGCAATTGCTCAAAGCTTTTTTTGGGTTACAACAAACTGGGGTACTTAGAAAGTGCATGGACATGAATTTCCTGAATCTTTTTTTGTACTCTTTTGGGGAGATAACTGTTGGAGAGACATTTTTAGGGACAACAAGGGAAGACTTCACCCATGTCTCAAGTTGTTTGTCCCAGGTGTATTGTCTCAAGTAGTCAATAATGCCACATACAAGTTCATGCCGCTGAGTATCCACCCCAACAAGTAAAGAGTAGTCCATGACATTAATTGACTGCAAATATCAAGAAAGAAAAGGGTGAACTTTCCAGCCTATAATATCAATTTAAACAAAGTACTATTCTGAAGGAAGTAACTGATTGAACTCACAGTAAGAAATGATGTGTCATTCCAAACAGCACGTTGCAATAAATGCTTTGTTTTTGAACTGACAAACAAAGGAGAAACATGCATGTCCTCAACAAAATTCTGATCCAACAGAACTTTCTTTGAGGCATCAGCTGCTGAGGTGTATCGAGAGTGCATAGCACCTTTAAGATCATACAGGCGGGTAATGTTTCGGCCAAATGTAAGATTTTCCATAACCATCAGGTCATGTTTCATTTCTCTTCCACTCTTAGACTGTCTTATAATAACCTGCGGTAAATTCAAAGGTTAATGACAAGGAAGATAAAGCTGACCAGAGATTTATTCAGGAAAAGACATAACATAGACGGACCTGATAGATTCCTAAAATTTTTGCAAGACATGTCTGGCTTCCTGAGCTGAATGATTCATTAATATGCTTGAAGTAATCTGGGGCAAACTGCAAAAATGAATCAAATTCTGTCTTCTTGATTTCTTTTATAATAAACCTGTCATCCAGGGTTTTAGCAAACAAAGATTTACTCTTTCCACCTTTAGCATCCCAGTTCTGACAACGACTAAGGGAAGCAATATAATCAAGCTCAGATTGACAGCATCGCCTTCTAAGAGCATGAAATTCTTTTGCATATAAGCAAACTACTGAATATTTACCCTTCCCAGCTAATTTTCCAAGACCCAGGGAGATTTCCGGATGAAGAACCTCTGAAGACAGCAGAGGATCCATCAAATTCAATACATCAGAACTCAGAGCATGAAAGTCTTCTGATGAGACACTTTGTGCTGAATGCATTCCATCCAAATCCAATGATCCAGTTGAGGAAAAAAATGGTGAACTAAAGTAATTATACGAAAACAGGCCATTCAAACTCTCACTTGTTTTACCTGTCCCTCCTCTCTCTCTTTTTCCATCCTCAACTAACTCTTTGTTTGAACCATGTTGATCATGCAACAAGGCAAGAGCACAAGCAATTATACTTGAAAGTTCACCCTTGTAGATTGACACAACCTTGTCATCAGGACCAATAGGAACATGCAATCTAGGCCCTTCATGCATAATCAGTTGACTGACTGAGGTTAGGCATTCTGGAGTGTAGTTATTTATGAATTCAAATTTCTTTGAGTTGCCTCTTTGAATCTCCTTCATGTAAGCCTTGTGTATTTCAGAAAAAGGTCTCCATACCCAGTCTTTTGAGTCAAAAGAATTGCATGATAGGGAATTTGTGAATGTAGCAGAGTCCAAATATATTTCACTAGGTGAACCACAAATATTTATATCAGTATTAGAATCACTATGCCTCAGAAGATCTGTTGTAATTGGATTAGTTACATCAACCTGTAAATGCTCAGAAATGGATGAACACTTGCCTTGAAAATCATCACCACCCAAAAGAAGAGGAACAGATGAATAAGAGGATTCATCAGAAGAACCTTTTCCTACAACTGAATTATGTAGCATTATGCCCTTAGTAGATGTACACTCGGCACTGGATGACCAATCAGGGTTTACAGCTCGCACAGTTGGCCCACTATCTGCTTCAGCATTAAAAAAGCTATTGACCAAATTGGTTGGTTCACCAGATTCTAAAAATGCATTCTCATGCAAAGGTTCTGAATCTTTGACTTTTGTAACTGCAATTTCATCTGCTGTAGATGTTTCCTCCAACTTGACTTCTAGACCATTCTCTAGGTTGATACCAGAGTTTCCAGAATCACAGTTAGCAGTGGAAGATAAAGTTACTTCATTGTTAACTAAAGCTATATGAGCAATAGCAGAATCATCACAAATTTCTTCACAAGAACTCAATATGTTAGTTTTTCCCTTGATTCTTCCACCAGAAGTGTCTTCCTTCTGCAGCAACAATTGTTCATCATGCACTATTTCATCGCCTTGAGCATTGCTAACAATTCTAGAATCATATAACATAAGCTCATGCAAACGTCGATCCCAAACATATAATTGAAGGAGGAGTTCCCAGTATAAACTATTTAAGCTTAGAAGCTTGTGAACTGACTGCCCCTGCCCCAAATTCCCATTCTTACTAACAACCTTCTGAATGAATGCCTGATATCAACAAAAAGCAGGGAAGAGGGATATCATGTTAGCCATTATTAAAGTAGCTGATTACAAAGCAATCCATCAGCAGGGGCCGAATAAACTAGAATACATATAAATTGAGAAAACATCTTATTTTATTTAGGTGGAAAAGATCATAAATCAAATTGTTGATCATGGATGACTTTTTGGCAATAAGCTCTCCTCAATGTGAGACACATCAGGTGGTCATCCATGATCCATTAAATATGCAACATAGTGAGTTAGGGGACTCAAATACAATTATGTGTAGGTAGCTCCATGATCAAGTCATTCCATACTAGAGTATAAAATGAACCTAAACATACTATACAACTACATAACAGTACATACATATATACACATAAATATACAGTTTGTAAGGTGATCATTTAAAAATTTTGTTATTTATTATATACAGAAAAATATAAATTTTATGCATCTATATACATTCTTTTGGGGGGAGGGAGTCTACTCTAGCCTGTGGACATTAAGAGAAGCTGAAAAGCTTGGGGAACAATGGACCCGTCCACCTGGTTCCATCCCTACACACCACATTGGCTAAATCAAATTCACGAATATAAGCTTAACACTCCTTCACAATGTGATGAACCAGTAACCACTTAAGGTAATAAATAAAAGGCCTCAAATAATAAAGCTTGATAAGAAATAAAAAAGTGTAACAGAAAAGAGAAGACCCAATAGATCTATTATATAATGGTAGTAAAATGAAACTTACCAAATCAGGGAATATCAATATTCCCCCATCAATCCTTGCAAATATATGCCTCCCCACTCCTAGGGGTGCTCATTAAAAACCAAAAAACCTAACCAAACCAAACCGATACAACCAAACTGAAAAATCCAGTTACCCGAACCAACCAGTGTGTGTATATATATAGTCTTTATATATTATCTAATTATATATTATATAATTATATAATATATAATTATATATTATATATTATATATTATATAATTATATATTATATAATTATATACTTATTAATAATATATTATAAATTCAAAAAAACTGAAAACTGAAGAACCAAACCAGTCAACCGGTTAAACAATTGGTTCACTTTGATTTTGGTTTTCAGTTTTCCAAAAACCAAAAGAAAGTGATGACGATATCTAACATATTAATTCTTGCAAATATCTTGATGTCTTCATAATGTCAAAAATTCTTGCAGAAAAGCTGAATATTACTGATGCTAATCAAGATTTATTACACTGTGTTTAGCACATGGAACGTGTCAGGAACTTCTAATCGAGACAAAACTGACCTCAAAATCAGATTTTTCTTGATTTAGCATCCCTTTAACTTCAGAAAGTTTCTTTACTAAACCTCTGGATCCCACAGATGCATTTGAAAGTGAGCTAGAGAACCCTTGTCCAAACTTCGACAATGAGTCTCTGACCTCCATGAATAGTGATAGCCCTTTCATAAGCACCTATCAGTAGAAGAATCCATTAATCAAATGAATTCATAGAAGTAATAAATACATTATGAATCAATAAAGAATCTCTTGGTGGCCAATAGCATACATCTTTGGCTTCTCTTTCGAGCCACTCTTCTCCAACTGGATTGTTGAACTCCAAAACCTGTGGTGGCATGGATGCAGCATAAATATCTAATGGAGAGTATCTAAACATTGCAACTGTTGGCCCCAACCTACAAAATTTCAACACATATCATGGGTTAATTAGTCCCAAAGAGAAAAAGAAACAGACAAATAATATTAATAGGAGTATATACCCATACCCATAGAAGAAAAGGTTGTCCCTGTACAATGAATGTGTGTAACAGGAATTGGAGCGATCTGAAAAGCCAAGCTCCAGGAACTTTCCAAATGAAAGCCCACGGGATACTGTGGATAGCACCACTCTTCTTGTAGATTTGAGGATTCCATTCTCAGGCTTACATTTTAAACATCTAGTCCACATCCAAAGTTTTCCTTCAGCTTCACCAGGCAATTGCAACTTCATAGGAAGTTGTCTAACTCGTACTGTAAGCCTCCCATTATGGTGTGCATAATAGTAAACATGAGCTTCTGGTGGCTGCTCACATTTTGAGCACTGGTTCCTCTGCCATAAATACAGAATTTTCTCAGTCCCTCTTCAAGCATAGTCATATATCTGAATCTCAAAGAAGCAAAGATCGAGAGTCACACAATATAAATTTATAAAATGAAACTTGGATGAGCTTTGGAGAACCTGATTGAGTAAGTTGTCATGCAAAAACCGTCCAAGAGAAATGTCAGAATTCCTGTAGTAGTTGATACGGGAAAGATGGTTTTGCTCACAAATAGTTCCTCTCAAGACATTCTGACTGCACATTAGAAATACAATACTTTGGGCATCTAAGAAACTGCTGATACCATCATTATGTTGCATTTTGTCTTCATTATTAATATTAGCCTTGACAGGGTTCAAAGACACATCAGAGCAAGCTGGAAAAGACTCATCTTGCTCATCATGAAGTGACTTCACTTCCTCTGGACTACCCTTTATTTCCATCTCACTAAGGTCAAGTGATTCAGGACATGTAGTGACAGGAAAGACACCCGCATTCTTACCATCTAGTTCCTTTTCTTTGAATCCAAAGTATGTGGAGAGGGAATTGTAGGAAGTAGATGAGACAATAGGGATGCTCTCTGAAAGAACCTTTTTAAAAGAGGCTGACCATGATGACAGTAACTGCCCAGAAAGAATGCGTGGAGCAAATGGCTCATAAGGTGATTCTGATAAACACTCATTCATACTTTCAGGCATATTATGAGTATTCAATGAACTTTCAGCAATACCATTCTCAAAATAATGGACATTAGGATCAGTTCCAGAAGATGTATGATCAACATCTGAGATTGGACACATTCTGTCACCAACAGATTGTTCTTGGAACTCATCAGAAATAGGAATATCAGTAGTACAGGAAAGAGTTGCAGACCCAACAAAAGAATCATTTGAGTTAAGAAAAGCACCAGAAGAACCATCAAGTGGTAATTGTTGATCTGTCAGAAATCCATTTGTCACTCTACTACTATGAATAGCAGAGAACATTGCCCTTCGATCTACAAGGAAAGAAGTTTCTAAAATTGAATGGTATGCCACAAGAACTGCACATTGCACCACACTTTTAATTTTCTTCAATTCATCACTATGAGCTCCCTTCAGTAAAATCTGCAGCATAAAAATCACCCAGAATAATTATGCCACAAATCACCAAAAACTGGAAGAAGATGATAATGGAATAACCACTTCCACAACCTGAAATAAAAGTTCTTTTTTCGCATTAAACATGTTAACTGTGAACAAACTTCTTACGTGAATTCGTGAAATCATTCAGTGATGGATGCACAGGAATTCATAGAGAAAGTACAGAACTAAGACACATAAGCTGCAGACTGCAGAGGACAAAATTATAATAATTCTATAAAACCTAGTTAGGATGCATGGAATGCTACACCATGAATACTCAGGTGGAAATAAAACTTTCTTCAGATGCTTAACTCGTATTCTGTGAGAAAATTCTGGTTGCATTACCCCTGGATTAGAAGATTTCAGTGGTTCTTATCCTTTCCAACATTTCAATGAAGTTACTTTGAGAAAACAAATACTGGCATATATACATCAGGTAATTGCCATGCTCAAAAATCACAAAAGACAGGAAGTAGCTATTCAACATTACTATTTTAATTAACAAATCATATTGTAATAAAACATGTTAGTCCATATCATACAGTAAATAATATGAGCTAATTTCATGCTTGTAATTCATTTCATGCTTTGTCCCAAGTATTGGGATCAGGAGATCTGATTTGGCTGTTTCCATTTTCTTTCGATTTCTCCTTTCCTATTTTATTTTATTGGACACAACTGAGTGGGTAATACTTTATCTCCTCTTTTGACCCTAACTCTTTTTTTATTTTCAGAGATCAGGAGAAAGAGAAATATATACAAGACCTCTAAACTGAATCATGAGTTTCAATTTGAGATTTTTTTTCTTAATTTTTGAGGTTATAATTATAAAATAGACATTTTAAGACTAAAATATTCATTTTGTGTGTTTATATACTAATTTCTTTTTGTTATTTTCTTATTTGTTAGGGTTTAATCAACACAAACATTGCTAAATGCTGTATTGAACCCTCAAAGACTTCAAAACCTGAACCAATAACTAAGAAAGAACATAAAATGTTGTCCAATCAACACATTTTATTCTTTTTCTTTACTAATTTGTGTTTTTATATACTAATTTCTTCTTTTCCTATAACAAAAATAGGGGTTCAGCCCCTATATTTTTTGAATTTTCTTTTCTTTCTTCTTTTTCTTCTCATGAATATGTTGGAATGTGTTGATTTTCAATACTTTAACATGAAGTTTATACGTTTCTTATGAAAATTATGGATATTTATTAAGGAAATCTGATTATGGAACCTAGGGAGCTACCCTAGGATACATGTTTTTACTTAAAAAAAATCCATCGCTGCCCGCCTAGGCGACTAGGTGCCCCCTGTCGCTTAGCCTCGCCTTGACGCCTAGAAAACTATGATACATACATGAATGAAATGTAAGATTTTTTTATTTTTTGATTGGTGAATCAATGGCAAGAGTTAACAAATAAAAAGTGTATGTACACTCTTACTTTCTGGTAATTTTTGAGCTTTTTACAATGATTTGAGTTTCTTTTGTCACTGATGCACAGTTTAACACAGAGAATTGGTGCAGGATAAAAAATCTGCAGCAAAACCGTGTATGTTGTTATAGTTTCAAATGTCAATATCAATCATTTGTCAAAGAGAGATACATGTCTATTCATCAATGAGCATTGGAATTGCTTACATATTTTAAAAAATATACCACTAGTGTAAGGGCACTTACTATGTGTGTATGCAAGTAAATGGTAAAGATATGAGTTGAAACCATGTAATCAAATTTAACTTTTATAAATTACACAAAAACCAAGAATTGCTCCATTGCAACCTGGGTGACCAGGGTTCAAATCTTGGAAACAGCCTCTCTATATGTGCGTAAGGCTGCATACATCTGTCCCTCCCCAGACCCTGCATTGGTGGGACCCTCATGCACTGGTACATAGGTCTTATAAGAGAGTATCTGATATATGCTTATTTCTATGCAACACAAACTCTTTACAAAAAAAAAAGTATAAACTTTACACTGCTTATAAGAAAACACAAGTCAAATATATAAATGTGCCAAACAAATGATGGTGTTAGTACTTTATCAGCAACTGTCATAGTCTAATAACTCTTCAAACACTTAAATTAATCATTCAAGCATCCCAACATCAAAAAATCCTGTCCATTTCAAATCAAACGCATCTGGGAACATATGAAGCATTGGTGATATAAAACAGGACTAACCGTACAGCCTAGAGGTCTAGGACAGCCCTCAAGGAACATCAAAGTCTTGCTGGGTCTCTTTCCACCTTCACCAAAACTGCCATGTTCCTCAACAAACCTTTCAAAATGGAATGAATCACATTGTTTCATCTCTTGATTCATGAAATTGTCAACACAAGACATAATCTGTGAACCAGCACAACGAGCAATTCTCTCCAACCGATGGAGCTTCATATCAAAGACTAATGTTATTCCTTTTGCAAGAAGAGACTCTTGCACATCCCTGGAAACAGTTTTCTCCACAAAAACCACATTAGGGTGGCACATCTCTATCATCTCAATGATTGTTTTCAGATTATCCTTTTCCTGTTTACAACCATATAATCAGGTCCAAAAATTTTAAACTTCCCTCAAGACAATGACCCAGAGAACATTAACCCACATTACCTGATCCATTGAATCAAATGACGACAATCCACTTGAGCACTGGCCAAGTGTTCCCTGGAGCAGCAGCAATCTAGGGTTCCTGTGCTTGGTAGGCATGTGCTTGTGTGCAGCATTTTTCTTAAAAACTAAGCCTTTGATTACTTCGCTGTGAAATCAAAGTATTCACTCCAGGGTTAGAAGAAGGAAGATGCATCATTGTCTCCTTAGGTAAGAGATATTTAATGACATATAAAACATAGTATATCAAAAGGCTGTTAGGCTTATGCTTCACTCCTTGATGCTTGCCTCAAGGTGAGGCTCATCCATTGATGCTCATGTCCAAAGCTTAGAGCATATGCCTCACCCCTTTGGGTGCCTAAACATTGTGCACCCCATACATAGGCCAAAATAGTCTTTGTCAGTTGTCATTACAAGGTTAAGTAAAATGGACAACTTGTATCTATTTATTTTTGTAAATTTGTAATTTAAACCTATTCATTATGCCCAAAATATATAAGATATTTTTTTATTCTTTTTTCTGTTTTTTGCATTTAAGAGTGTCTCCAATAGGATTGAAGACATTTTAGTTAATGGAATGCAACTTCCCTGTAGCTCCTTTGCAATGTTTTTTGGTAGTTAAATCTGTTAATACTATTACCCTCTGATGTAAATTGGTGATTAAATATCACCAATTAATTATATACCTTACTCCTTTTCAGAAAAATAATAGTTAAAAAAAAATGAGGCCTTCTTTTCATCTGAACATTCTAGTAACTGAATTATTCATTTAAGTATCCTATATAATTTCACATATAAAGTACCTGGGTTGATCTGTAAAATAGAAGTTTTTTTTAGTGTAAGTTCAGTGTGGTTCATTGTATAGTCCTTGCTGTCTAGCCTGGGCACGCTAGAAGGGCCATTGTTTATATGACAGTTAATACAAATATCTCTGTTAATTATAAAAAATTAATAACATACATACTAAGTTGGTAATTTTCTGAATAATCATAATTTTCCTCACTTTAACTCATCAACATAATTAAAAGGCCTTTGTTAATCCAGATAGGATAATAACAGGACTAGAGAGAAGTGCCAAATATGGAATTTTCAATAAAAATTGAAGAACCCAACAAAATGACATGAAACCCATCTGCAAATACCAGGGCTCATGCCTTTATATTCTAAAACTATGAACATTGATTCACTCTCTCATCAGATAATGGGTATTTTACATCTTATGAATCATAGGTAGTAGGTACAATAACTTTATATACCTTTGGCTGCAAGAACCAGTTGCAATACATTTCACCTTGACATAACCTCCTGGATCCATTGCTTTTCCCTCAAAAGCATCAGGCTTCACAAGTAATGCAGCACTCCAAGATAAAGAAGTTACTATATCCACCCAGTTCTCACCAGCCTCCCCTGAAATAGAGATTCCCTCTAACCTGAGAAGTTGACTGACAAGGGCCCTGAATTTCCCATTCATCACCTCTAGCATTGCTTTCTTTCTTTCCTCTTCAAGCCTATAGCTGCCACTGCCTTCTTCATCAAAACTACTTAAGGAACTTGGTTTTCCCCACTTTGTGCCATCACCACATTCATCGTCATCACCATCACCATTGTCAACCACACTACCTTCAACATCATCCTCCAGATCTTGTGGTTCAGGGGGCACCCACAAATCAATATTTGTTTCAAAATCCAAAGACAAGAAGAGCTGTGATCTTTCCTTAGATTGGTCAGTACTCCCACTTCCATCCTTTGCTCCTTCATCAACACCAACTACTTTAATTGGGTCTTTACCATTTTCAGGAAAAGATGCACCAATTCCTTTTGCTGGAATTGACAAGCTCAAGTTGTCCACTTGCCCATTTATCCTAAAACTGAGATAGTCTTGACAGTTTCTTAAAGAAATTTCATCTCCTTCCTCCCTGTCAATAACAGAATAAAATAAATGAAAACAAAAATGAAGTAGTCAGTCTACCAGGAGATAACACTATCACCACAAATAAAACAGGCGCTGTCTAATTAAAAAAAAAATGATATACCTGCCATTCACATTTGTTTCAATTGAAAACTCACCTGAAAGGGTAGAATATGGTACAAAAGAAGAAAGAGTTAGCACTGCAATGGTCTCTGGAAGCATGAACTAGTTTTTAACTAAATCCATCAAAAGGAAAATAAGAATAGAAAGTAGAACATACTGCAGCTTGAGGCAAGGCTATCAGTGCTTGTCAGTGAAATTGTTGGACTGATCAATGGTGTTGCATATGAACTTAGATCACCATGCACAGAAGAATCTTGTTCATTCTTTTTGCTTTTACAGGACTGCTGGTTGTCTCTACCGTCCAATTTAAATGAATTTAGTTTCTTCTTAGATCCCTCCCCATTATCCGAATCTGTCAGCTCCTTATCACAGACATGGCACATTTTATACATGTGATCCCAAAGAATACCTGCAAGATCAGTACCCTGACTGAGTTCCAGGATGGATCCCTAATAATTGCTACCAATCAGAAATTGATGAACTCTTATTACCCTCTCTTCTCATTGTATAATCATCCGAGAATCATACAAAATTCAAAGCAGAACCATTCACTTTATTTCTGAATCGTATAACTTGAAAAAAAATAAATAAATTGATAAACATACGAACCAAAACATAATTAAACTCCATATTCCAAATAAATTAAGCCCCCCAAACAAAACAAAGAAAGAAAATATTCACCAACACCGGCAAACGATATAGTGTAATAGTGTAACAACCAGTGAAAATAGAAATAACAAAACTGAGACTGTAATTTCCCGAGAAAATACAAGGGGAAATTACAGAGATGATGAAACTAAAAGAACCACACACCTACACAACACGATGAAAACCATAAAAGAAAGAAAACTAACAAGACGAAAGAAGATAGTCCAAGTTTAATATGAATTAGGGAGAACACATTGCCCAAGTTTTTAAAATCCAATTGAAGTTCAAAATCAAAACAAGGAAAGAAAAAAACTAACTTCTAATCAAAACACGGGTTTTCCATGTCCAAATCCTAGGAAAAACAAACAAAAATGAGAAATCACTACGCAGATCATTGACCAACCGATGAAACTTACCCAAATATTGAATCTCCTTCACCAAGAAAATCAAAACCCGGAATCTCCCAACCAAAAAGACACCCACGAAAACAAAAATTCAAGTTCCCAGAAACAAAACTCACAGTAAATCCACCCACCATATACTAGAAAATCCGCAGACTTATTACGGTAATTTATCTTTCAAATCTGCTAAAACCTTCCATAAATCCCAATTTCCATATCAATAACCTTTGTCACAACCCCCGCCACACCAACAACACGATTTCATAGAATGTTACCATTTTCATCCCAAACTAGAACCAAATCAGTAATAACAGCACAACTTACCGTTCAAGCAGCCAAAACAAGAAACGCATCAAAGGGCTTCTGCATAAAAATCCCAAGCATCGTCGTCGGTACAATCTTTCCTTCAAAATTTAACTTCCGGTAGAGAATCGAAGCAAAGCAAAGAAGCAGCTATAAGCTGAAGTGTTAAGAGACAGACAGACGAGAGGAAGGGAAGACAGAACGTTGAAATTCAATACAGAAGGAGGAAGAAGGAAGAAAGAGAGGCAAGTGGGGCCCGCTCAAATTTAAACCGTCGTTACCAAAAAATGCGTATATACGATATCCATTTGTATTAATCTACGCGGTTTCAATACATTTATACGTATCGACGTACTCACATAACGCGGTTTACAGGCAACCGATGGAGCCCGGAATCTCTGTGTGACAGCTAGAGCTAGTACCCACCTAACGTGTATCGTGGGCGTGTACTTTCCCTTTTCGTTGGGTGTTTGGGACGTAGGAATATGACTAATGCGTCGCCGAAAAGTGAGGAAGAGTTCAAACAAATCATCCTCCGTTCAATCGGGAAGGGTTGGTTTATTTGGTTGTCGAATTTGGAAAGTAGAGAAAGGAATCTACCAGGTTTAAATGTTAAAATTCCTTTTTGGTCCATTCCTTTTAGAATCTCTTTCTCTTTGCGGTTGGGTCGGGTCATGGGTGGGACTACGATGGTGCGGGTGACATCATATAAGCTTGGTCCTTAACAAGATCTCAGTCGGTGCTTGGCATGCTGCTGGATGATCGATTTGATGATTTCCATGCTCGTTAAAAACAGATTCAAACTTTGGATGCCAAACGCTGCCTGAACTGCCCTAGATACGTTCTGTGACAATTTTGAAAAAAAAAATTAAAGGTTTTTGTACAGTGGCATCGTTGAATCCTAAGTCTGTGAGTTTCCAATGTACTTTGTTAAAATTCCAGTTTTAACCTTAGGATGTCTCATAATGGGTAAATAAAATATTATTCTTTCTAATATTTATTAGTGATAAATGGATGGCTATGGATTCATGTCTGCTTAAGTATAGTTCTTATCTCATATTCAATACTATACTTTCTATCTCTCTCATGAAAAAATGACTTAAACCGCCCATATGTTTTGTGATAGAAACTTAAAACTCCCCTTGTATTTTGACTTTTACAAAAAAACCTCCCTCCACCTTTCAAATAAGTAAGCAGACATGCATTTAACCTTATCATCATGTAGCGAATATATAGAAAGTATGACTACGCCATATTCAATTCTAACTTAGATATTGTTGTTCATTCAATGAAGTATACAATAAAACCCAATTAAATAAACTGTATCACCTTTTGGGAATAATCCAATAAATCTTCATCACAATAAACCGGGGTGGAACTAGGGAATTTTCATAAGGGGCCAGAACTTAAAGTGGATTAGGGGGAGGGGGAGAATAAATATGGATGGCCATAGGAGGGATCAACCCATTGGGGTGGGGAGTGGGGGAGAGGAAATTTTACATAAAACAATAAAACAATGGGGGATTTTTAGGTTATAAGGGGGCCATGGCTCCCCCCTTGGTTCCACCCCTAACAATAAAGTTTTTCATGGATAAAAAATGGAATCTAAAAAACTAGAGCATTACTCAGCTTCATCTCGTTAGCAAAGGCCATTCGGGAATTTGCCAAAGGCAATTTTCTCAAAGACATAAGTTAAACAATTTGCACATATTGTTTCCAATTATTAATATTATTAGTAAATGTGCCTAACCTGGTCCTAAGGCTTAAGCCCAAGGTCAAGCTTGACTTGTTCAACCTAAGCCCAACCCATATTGAAATTTGATGCATTCAGGTTAGGCTTGGATTTCGATCAATCATCCCCATGCTAAAATTTAGCATAAATGTATATGTATACATGTAGAAAAATATGTATATATATATATATAGATATAGATGGATGGATGGAATCGGGCTAGGATTAAACTACCTAAGGCTAGGCCTAGGCATAGCTCGAAAAATTAAAAGAAAAAATAAAAATCCAAACCTTTGGGCATAGGCTCAGGCCTAGCCAACATGAGGATTGAAAATCCAAGTCAGTTCATCTAAATTGCAAGATAGGTTGGGTTAGGCCCAAACTGCCTGCCCAATTTGCACTCTATGGGTCACTTGCCACCAATTTGATGGAAAAATAGTTTTCTTTTTGAGTTAGTTTAAATTTTTATTCTATTTTCATCATTAATAACAAATAATTCTTATTTAACACATTTATTTTTATTTAATACGATGTAATACATAATGTTAGAGATGTGCTCAAATGTTTTCTACAATTCTTTTGTATTTTAATAATTTTATCTCCATATTTTTTAAAATTTTATTATTTAATTATGATAATGTAGATTGGCCAATTTGACCTAAAACTATAACTTAAATAAGAAAATGGTTCCATTTTTTAGTCAATTTTAAATTTTATATTTTATTTTCACCATTAAAAAAATACATCTTATTCATTACACATGACATTTATTGATATTTAATGATATCCAAATACCGAATTCAAATCTGTGTGTTTTACAGTCCATGAGATATTGGATTGAATTCCGATAATATCCAATAGATTCAAATATACCCTTATTCGAATTTAATCCAATTCGTTTGCAGCACTTTGCAGCCCTCCAGACTGCAGTTAATACCCACACTTTCCATCAAAATTCATTTATAATGGCTTAGAACTTTAAATCAACCATAGATCCACTCCTTTTTAATCTTTTACTTTATGTTTTTAGTTTTTCAATATGGATTATGTGACAACTGTACAAGATGCTTTATGCATTATTTTCTTCTTTCCTTTTTTTTTTTTTTATTTGCACATGTTCTTGCTCCTGTGTATGCGTGACAGAGTCTCCTTGTGGCTTCAAGCCTTATCACTTTATTGAAGCCTTTCGTCAATCCTTTCTCGTCACAACGACAAGCCGAATGCAATTACCAAACACAAGTCTCATCATCTTTTCTGAAAATAATACATTCATTTATGGGTATTAATAGTATTCGAAAATTTGATTTTGAATTTGATATTTAACATAATTAAATTGAATTTGGACAATTCGAATATTTAATCGATTGAATTTAGATATCTTATTCTTACCGAATAGTTAATTGGGTTCGAATTTAGATATGACCTAATTCAATTCAATAAATATCCGTATTTGATCGATTATTTAATTCTTATATATAATATATAAAAAAATTTATATAATTTATATATAATAATTAAGTTATATAAATAATTTATATATTCTATATCAATAAAATATTTATTAATTATCTAAAATAATTAATTAATCAAATTCAGGTCAAATCGAATATTCGAATATTTAATCGGATAAAGATATTAATTTTAATATCCGTTGGATATCAGATTTTCTAATTGAATTTGGACTAAGATATTAATTGATCCAATTCGAACTTGATCCGTTTACACTCCTATTCATCCCTTAAAAGCTGTGAGAACTGCACCCTGGATATATAAATATGATATTAATCACAGAAAAACCCTATTTTTGGTTGTCTAGCAGTCCTTTTCCACAATGACAAGACGCTTGAATCGATCCTTTTAGTATAAAGCATATGCATTCACCAAAGAATCTCAGAAGTTTTGCTGCTTCCAGCTCCTTCTGTTAATATGGAGAAGTTCAGGGAGACCCAATGAAGCTACCCTTTCATTTTCTCAAAGGTTTGAATGTGGTGATATAGAAAAAGAGGATAAATTAAATAAATAAAAAGAAGAAAAAGAGAGGGAGGGAGGGTCCTGTGTATTTATGGTCGGATGAATAAATTCCAGAGTGATGGATGAGAACTTTTCACAAATGAAAATGATATTAGGAGTTGAGACATGTGGCACACAAAAGGGTCAAGAACCAACTAGATGGATCAAGTATTAACCCAATTGCATCACAACCTGTAAAGGTCTAGACCAGTTTGGACTTGGGTGATCCAAGGACTGGATTGATCAAGCAAACTTGAAATTAGTTTGGGCACTATCACCTCAAGGCTTTGTTTGGTTTAGTAGAAAATACAAGAGAAACCGAAACATTTTTTTTTTCTGTCAAACCAAACACAGGGTTATGGAACCCAGATGAGCCTAGACATCTTGGGCATGATCCTTTTGTATCGTCCCCTTAATCCATAAAAAAGAAAAAAAATGTGGTAAACAAGATAAGGTATTCTGGTAGGCTAATAATATATATTTTTTCCTTTAATTCAATTTGAGCCAAAGGGGTATTATAAAATACTCTTTCTTGGTCACATTTTGATAAAAAAAAAATCCGATTTTTGAGATCTTATTGGTCACAGTAGCCATTCTTGGCCTGACCCATCAAATTCAAAGGCTGATTTTTCTGTTTGACTTTGAATACCCGATAGCTTACGGGTGACAGCTATGGGTCGGAGCCCACCTACTTTTCTTTTCCCTAATAACCTAAAGTCCCGAGTACTGACTGGGTCATCAGTTTCCTGGTTATCAGGATCGACCACATTCGGACCTCTTTAAGCTTTTGGCCAAACAATCCAAGCTGGATTTGAAATTGGGTACAACCCGATCCATTTGTCCATATGCCAAAAGTTAGAGGATGTAATTTTTACGAAAGTGAAGACCATAACTGGCCCATTTCTGTAACGACTTCTGAATACAAAGTGCAAACAAGGAAATAACGTTAGTTGGGTTAGTTGAAAGTCTTTACCTAACATGGCAGTTGGCGACTTGAAGTACGGTAATCAACAAGGAGAAAATGTCAATTTTGGGTGGAAGTTCATCGGGTCAAATAATTGTGACATCTTGACCCAGAGAAAAGACTAGCCAATTTATACGCTGGTAGAACTGAATTTGACTATGGAAAATGATTTCGGAGCGGGCCGTTCGGGTCGTAACAACCCATTACTTTTTCCCTTTTTTTTTTCATTATTGCCTGATTTTCCTATATTGACAGGAGAACGATTCATAAGGTTGATTTTCAATTTCCATGAACTGAGAGCTGCTTTGAATTGGCTACGTATACTGAGTGACCGTAATAGGCCCGTTTAGAAAACTATATCCGAATGATTTTTTTTCTTCAATTTTTTCTTAGGTTCCTTTTGGAAAAATGTAAATGCTAGTTCAGTGCATATGGTTTAGTTTTGCTCGTGTTTGGTTAGAATGCGTTTATGTACTGAAAGTGATGATTTTCACAAATTTTAAAATATATTTGCACCC